TGAAGATGTCATTCTTATAAAAAAGTACAACCACATGGTTGTCTTCCACTGTTTATTCTGGCCCTCACTGACTTTGCTAGGTGGTGCCCTGATTGTTGGCATGGTGAGACTGACACAGTGTCTGTCCCTACAGTGTGGAAAATACAGCACTTCAGTCAGAGATCAGGCAAGTGGCAGAGTACACTCTATAGGACAGCAGCAAATCCAATTGTGGAGTTTGGGGAGGAGCAAAGGAAGGAGCAGAGAGATGTTAAGACAGTGGCCAAAGTAAAGCGCTGGCCTCATACAGTGAAATTTCTGCAGTTGAAGACCTAAGTATGGTTGCCTGCCAATTAGACTAACCATGCAAAGTTACATATTGCATTTTTATGTGGGAAACATTTTTTTAAAAGCTTCATTGTGTATTTTATTCATTCTGTAAATATGTACAGACTCACTCCTTTCTACTCCAAACCTCCTTCCACATAAGAGCCAAGGAAGCACACAGGGCAAAATGAGTTCAAGGTAGCTATTCTTAGTATCTAAGTTTAGCCCTTGCTAGAATCTGTCAGTATAGAAACAAATGACCAAGGTATCTACTGAGCACTTGACTGTCAGCCTAACTCTGTGCAGTATAGTTCACGCAATAATTTTTCTACCAAAAAAAAAAAAAAATCCTTAGTGGTGTGTGGTGATGTACACCTRCAGTCCCAGTGACTAGGGAGGCCCAGGCAGGAGTATCACAAGTTCAGGGCTAGCCTCAGCAACTTTGTGAGACCCTGTCTTAAAATAAAAAATAAAAAGCCTGGGGATATGGCTCAGTGGTTAAGTGTCTCTGGGTTCAATTCCCAGTACAAAAAAAAAAAAAAAAAATCCTTGGCAAAGAATAGTTCATTCTTTATAGAAAGACAAAAATGAGGGGCTGGTGTTGGGCTCAGTGGTAGAGCACTTGCCTAGCATACATGAGGCACTGGGTTTGATCCTCAGCACCACATACAAATAAATTAAATAAAGGTCCATCAACAACAACAAAAAACTAGCTGGGCGTAGTAGTGCATGCTTGTGATCCTTGAAGGTGAGGCAGCAGGAGGATCATGAGTTCAAAGCCAGCTTCAGCAACTTAGCAAGGCCCTAAGCAACTCAGCAAGACCTTGTCTCTAAATAAAATATAAAAAGGGATGGGGATGTAGCTTAGTAGGTAAACCTTTTCAGGCCTAATCCCTGGTTTAAAAAAAAATGTATTATGGTTAATAAAATGTGGACCTACCATTTTTTAGTTCTTTTTTCACCACTCATGATAAAAGAGGAAAGCTTTCCAGAGAACTAAGTTTATAGTTAATTATATTTAACCTTGCCAAGTACCACATTTTTTTCTAGTTTATTATGCTTTTCATTAGCTCACTTTACTCTGTGCACATTCTGACAGGAGTAGGAGAAATGACTAGAACTGTAAAGTGAAGAGAAGCTGTATTGGATTTCAACATCTACTTCAGATAATCCACACTGCAGGAAAGAGACACAGGGCTAGTCAGCAGTTGTCTGTACTTTAATGGTGTCACAAGATTCTTCCCACAAGTGCTTTCCAGATTGAGTTGAAAAGAATTTGCTTGTGGGTTGGGGTTGTAGCTCAGCAGTAGAGCACTTGCCTAGCACGTGTGAGGCACGGTGTTCGATTCTCAGCACCACATAAAAATAAACAAGCTTTGTGTCCATCTCAACTTAAAAAAAAAAAAAWTTGATTTTCCAGTGTGCCTCAAAATATCTTTAAAGTTTTATCAAAAAGTCTTAAATAATGGACAACAGAATAAGACTTTTAGTATTATTAGTGGTGCTGGGGGTTGAACTTAGAGCCCCATGTGTGCTAGGCAAAGCCCCATGTGTGCTAGGCAGGCGCTTTACCACTGAGCTCCATCCCAGCCCACAAGTCAGATTTTTGAAGCAACTTTTGTGTGTAGATGTCATCAAACTGTAAACTTCTGATTATGAATCAGTTTAATGCCTTTTACCAATTAATTTCAAGCCACAAACTAGTAAATAAACTGAATTTAATAGAGCAATGTTGACTTGACCAGTAAYAAATGGTCTTGGATGTTTCACCTTCTTTTTTGTATGGAATGGTAGAGAGAACATGTCTCAGAGTAGGATTCATTTCAGTTTGTAGGCTACCAAACAACTTTTTAGATGCATATTCTTGGGCAAATCTGAAAAGCTGTCTCAACCTCTGAGCTCTTCTCATATACACAACAGGGATAATGTCTTCATGTTTTTAAGGCATAAACAAGGTAGAGTCAATGAAACACAAAGCTTAGTTTCTGACATCGAGTAGTGGTGCTCAAAAATATTTGTAGCTAAAAACAAACAACAACAAAAAAACTTGAGTTCCCATAGTCAGCCTTGGTACTTTTCATTGGACAATGGGTATAGAGGGTAGGGAAGAGTGCTGCCAGAGAGAATTCCTCTGCCCCCACCCCCATTCTCTTGGCTAAATGTAACACACATTTACCAGAACTTGTGGTTTAAAGTTATGACAAAATCATTCTGTATACCAAAGACTTCCCTGAAATAAAATATATGTATGCATGTCTATTTTAAATCATTCTGTAAAAGAAAATTCTGTAGTTTTCTTAAATGAAGGTTGCATCTCTATTTTTTAATAAATTTGGCTTTCGCCTCAACAATGTGCAATTCTTGTGATTTTTTTTCTAAAAAAAAATCAAAACTACCAATTTGAAACCCAAAGCATATACTTCAATTATTGTTTTTCATTCAGATGTGGTTACTTGGTTCATCCCAGGAAAGACATTATATCTGGAGAGCAAAGTCACTTAAAAGTTCAAACCATTTGGCAAATCAATAGAATTTAAACAATGATATGCTTAAATGCTTATAAATACTAAATATTAATGACCATGTGCATTACTGGTCAAAGAAAAGCCCAGACTTACCCTTTGCAATGTTTAATGATAACGGAAAGCAAAACTAGCTTGTTTCTAACTTCACTTTTAAGTTCTGGTCTTCAACTGTTGAAGAAAAAAGTCCATCTACCTATATATATACATACATACATTCATACCTGTGTGTACATACATATATGTCTGCTGAAAGTACAAGTATAAAATTATTTATGGTTAAAGGAAGTTAATATCTAAACATACATTTCTCTAATATTTATCACTTTACCAGGTTAGAAAAATTGGCTTTTAAGGCATAATAGTTTCAGGTTTTCAATCAAATTCAGCTAAATTTTGAATATTATAAACATTGGTTTGCTTTTCAAAAGAAATGGCAAGATAGAATTATCACAGCTCTTTGTTTACATAATACACTAAAGATTGTTTGGACACAAATCAAGGTAATTTTTTTTAATAAACAGCGTGATGTTACAGACTGCAAAGTTAAAGAAAAGCAGACATTGACAGTTTCTGATGAGCACAAACAATAGGTGCAGTCACAGGCCAAACTTCCTGCTATGAACAGCAAGACTGGGAAGAGGTCTTAAATTTAGTGATACTGTATTATCCTATATTCTTGATATAATAACACATGCATCTTGCTGTGTCAAATACTTTTTGGGCCATTGTTAAAAGGACATTAAACATCTGTCTCTGAACTAATGCAATATACCACAGGACTTCAATTCATTAAATGAACAAAATATAGAGAAACAGACTTGCTATAATTAATGGGGCTAAAAAGGTGGTTTGAGCTCCTTGTTGAGGAATCTAAGATAAACATTTGATGTGTCAGTAGTCTTCTGGTAGTATTACATTTCCCAAGACACTAAGGTGTTATGTTTCAAAAGGACATATTCTTTAACATTTTATTTAACCAAATTTATGTCCAAAGACTGAAACCATTAATTGCAATTTAAAGCTTGGGTTCCATAGCCAAAAAGATTTTTAGAGTCAGATAAAGGCCAAGTTCTCAATCTACACTAAGGGCATAAATTAAAATCTGATGAAGGACTTTTTCTTACGAAATTAACAGATTGTGACCACATTTGGAAATCTGTACTAGAATTAAGAAGTTTAGTTTTATTAAAGATATTTTAATATGAAACACTCAAGGTTTTCTCCMTCTTTGCTAACCTAAAAGGATCAATAAAATAACAATAACCAAAAATACACCTGGTTCTGCCACAAAATTATTGTAGTGACAGATAAAATGAGGTTGCAGATAAAATTCACTGACTTTATTTGTCTTATCAAATGTATATTAATACTTTTTTCTGTACTTACCAACATGAAGAATGGAGTCTACTGTTGGTAGTAAAATCCAGTTAAGTCTAACTACGTTATACATACAATGGTCTAATTTTACTTCCAACTCTTCCCCACTAAAGCTCTTACATGCAGTCATGTAAAAATCAAGTCAGAAAATATCCCTATGGCTCACACCTTCTGCTTTTTGCTAACTATCATGGCTGGAAGAGGAACATATGTAAAATCAAGAAGAAGGAGTGGCACTGCACTAGTAAGGAGGAAGTGCAAAACAAGTGCAGGACTTGAATGAGATAAATACGGTTATTTAATATATCATATTGGGAGACTCCTAATAAACTTTAAACTCTTCCGAAATTCAGAACCATGTATTTGTTTACATCTTTTATGAAAGATCCCTCTTGAATAGGTCTAGCAGTGTTTGCAAACAGAAATGTGTACAAAAAAACATATACCAAACTCATGAATAAAGAAGAAAAGAGAACAAAGTAAACATAAAATGCCAAATCAAGAACCTAGTACCATGAACCTCCTCACACTATAGCCTTCTCTAGACGGCTAAACAATGATTAAATTTTAGCTAACATCTTTCCTTAATGTTTCCTGCACCAAAGGTATGCCAAGTTCTGACTTCATAAACACAGTGCTCTGCAAAACTTCTGTAACATAGGAGCCTGAAGTATTGATTTGTGACTCATCTAATTTTTTTTGCCATTAACCTTCTGAGGTAGAGTTACCCATCCAATTTTATTGGGACCATAGTTATCTTGAGTTAAATCCCATAATATTTTCAGAGAGTGGAAATAATTTTTTACAAGAAAAGAAAACAGGCTTCCCAGGCCATGGCACATAAGATATATTTACAATTTTTAATGTAATAATTAGAATGATTTTGTGTTTTACTTTAAAAAACAGCCCAGCTGTTGTTATTTTGTCACCAAGAATTATTATCTGAGGACATTGTCAGTGCTGAATTTTATAATTCGGCCTTCACAATCCCATCCTCAATGAAGAGTTGATTCCCTGATGGTTTGCACATATATTCTCACAACTTTCAGCCTTCTGTTAGATATGCCCCCTCCAGACAGGATAGATATATAAAGAATGTAATTCATTTAAATATCTCCTCCTTGTTCTGCCCCCTCCCTCTTCTCAAAAACATCTGAAGTATGAAAGTTGTCTTTAAATAAATAGGAGAAGCACCACAATCTTTTAACACCACATATTGCCTTTAAACTGAATAGTTTAGTGATGTCTTTGACATCAAAATAGTTTTTTAAGGTGGACTCTGAGTGTGTGGGTCCAGCCCAGATCTGTAGCTTGTGCAGACAGAGAAACAAGAATTTATGATACTCAGATAAGTTCACATCCTAACTTTAACATACTGCTGGATATTAAATTTCTTCAGAGAGTTGGCAAGCATGGCCTATTGATCCAAATATGAGTTAAACGGATTTACAAAATCATTATGTAAAGAACAAATCCAAGTTCATGTGCTGTGACATTTCCATAGTGCCTTTAAAATAGGCTGCTCACAGTTTTTCTTATAATGCTAAACCACTCAATTTTGATGGAAAAAGAACACAGATGGACTGTGTTTTACCTATATGAAAATTACCAATTCATTTAAAATAAACTCCAAGAGGGTATACACAGTCTAATCAAGCCATCATTTTCCTGATTAATAAGAACTACACTTAACACAAAATATTTTATCAGCAGCTGTTTTCATCAAAAAACCAATAGTCATAGTTTCACAGTTGAAAAAGTTACACATTAAAATATTTTACAATTCATTATATATTCACCAGGTTCCCATTTCCTAATGGGCTTGTAATATAAAGCAGAATAGAAGGGAAAAAACTTGAAGTTGATTACTTTGACACTAAGTTTTACAGAGGACACTAAGAACCACAAAAAGCTTAGGTTCTATCATAAAATAGCAACCAAATTACACTCTTCTTTTAAAAAATCCAATTAGAAACATCTTTTTTAAAAAACCAAATCCCACAATAAGATTAACAGATTTAAATTAACAGCAGTCTAAAAATCCTAAAAAAAAGTTTTTGTATAGCTGAGAATATGGTAAAAAGTTAAAGCATGATTTTCAAACAATTGATTATTTCTTGCTACAATGTATTTAAAGTTAGGTTTATTTATTTTTTCTTTAGAGGAGCTTTGTTCCCCTCCAACATAATTATCGAAGGAGTACTTATCAAGTGACTTAAGGAAACTGTAGAGCCAATAGTCAGTTACATCACATTCAGTGACAAGGATGGTCAGCTCTAGGATCTGACCAATCTATGACAACTGCTCTCTGATATTGAAGTACCTGGAAATAGATCTCGTCACCCCATGCAGCTTTTGATTTTTGGTCTTGCCTTTCTGAACACTTCCTGTCCTCCTTTCTTTTTAGTTAGATCACTTAATCTATATTCTTTACAGAATTTGTCTATACTTCTCCAAACAGAATTAATTTGGTTGTAGTAACTTTTGAAAATAAATGTAAATGATGAAGTAAGCTATGTGGGCTTGTGTTTTTATGATGGAGAGGTTCTGGGGGAAAGAGGCGTAATGATAGGAACTACTGTGAAAAAAGGGAGAAATCATAAATTTTGTGCAAGGAGGCTCAAGGCTTTTTTGGCACTTGGGTAAAACACAGTTCTCTGTTAATTCTTCAGTTTCCACCATCAAATTTTCAGATTTGTACCATTTCACTGAGTTTTCCTATAATCAATCCCTGATATAGAAAAGGATGGGATGTTAGTATTTATCAACTGCATATAAGCTAAATAACACAAAATGTAATTGTGAAGTTTAAATAAGTTATGAAATATTTTGTATCTGCAAAAGAATATATCTGGTTTCCTGCTTAAAACAGAGTTTAAATTCTGCTTAACTATTCCAAGACARTTTATAGAAATAAATTCTAATTTTGAAATTTATTTTTCTTCTTGGCAATATTATATACATGCTTTAATGAAGTACCTAAATCTTCAATAATTATGCCCTTTAAGGGTTCTAAAACAGCCAGATACTAAGAATATTTGTATTAGAGTCCCTTGTTCACTATTCAAGACTTCTACTATAAGTATCTGATTTCGTAGACGAATATTTTTAGAGTGATGCTGTTTTACTAGAGTATATAATGTGCACTCTTTATAAAGTTGTCCTCCAATAATATGCCTAATCTAGAAAACTGTCAGTAAATTATTGCACTATTTTTTTTTTTTTTTGGTGTGGCACCTGGACATTTGCTAAAGCTATCTCCTAGGACATTAATCATTCATTTCAAATACTGAGTAAAAATCAGATTCTAGAGTGATGACTAGCATTAGTTCCTACATCTTGGGTGATTGTTTAAAAAAAAAAAAGTTTTAGAATGTGTCCTGTGCTCAAATGAGATTTAATGAGGTTAAAGTGAGACCTGATCACTGGGAAACGATCTTAAAAATAGTTTAAATAGTTTATCATTGAAATATGGATAAACAGCTTAAAAAGGTAAAAGAGTTCATGGTTTCTATTCTTTCATATTCTAAAGTATTATTCATGAGCATACCTCAGTAGAGGGGTTTATGTAATCAGGACGATAGCCTAAATTGTGTTAATTCTGGTAACCTATTTCATATGATTGAAYCACTCTTAACTATAAAAGGGTGGAAGATGAGGGATTCATGTGAAAACAGAAAGAAATAAAAGGGAAAAAGGGTGAAGTTCAATCTGTTTTCTTTAAGTAGTTATACATTGGGAATTAGTATTAATGAGAGAGTGCCTGAGCCTCATCTACAGACCAAGAGAAAAGCTAACCATGCTGTTACTAACAATAAAAATTTGGGGTGCAAAACAATGCATGACTATGGGACAGATTATGTAAATAAAGAATATATATTAATGATAGTTTCTATAATATAAATAGCCTTTAATAAAAAAAATAATCTTTTTAATAACATTAATACTTCTATTTTCTGGAAAACATGCATGAAAAATGTATTCAGTTCAATTGCAAAAGGAGGAGAAAAAATCAACTTAAGGTGAACACTGTACAATTCTGGAACAAATACTATTCTTGCTCATTCTTTTTCTATGATGATTATTTTACTTTGTGGGAGTCCAGAATTTCCTTAGGAAATAAGAGTCAGATCCTTGTAAATACTGTTCAGAAAAAAACAATGAAAAAACAAAAAAACAAGACAAAAAAAAAAAAAAAAGAAAAAAGAAAAAGAAAAAACAACAACAACAACAAAAACACTACCTTATAACAGGTCTCATTTGTGACTGCTTCCAAAACTGTGCAGATAAGACCCCAAATCATCAAAAGGTTTGATTTATTAAAAAGAAAAAGTCTCTGATGAAATCGCAAGAGTCCCTTCCACCCAAAGCATTTTTTCTTCATTAAACAAGGAGTCAAAAAATCCATTTCAAATTGCAAATTGATCAGCAATGGGGAAAAAAAAGAAATTTTTTCTTTTCCAATCTTACATAATTTAACATAAGCTCTAGTTTACTTAGCCCTAATGCAATAACAGCCTTTGTTGTATCCACATTTCAAAACAGAACATTTGCAAGACAAGTGGAACATCATTCTTTTTCTTTCTCCATCATTGCTATATATTTTGGGGAGTTTTGTTTTGTTTTTTAAAAAAAGATACAAACAATCTTCAAAGTTTACCTTTTTTTTTTTTGGACTTAAGGCATAACATGAAATTGCGCATTATTCTAAAGCTTAATTTTGAAACGAACTAGTTTAGTGCTATCAAACCCTGTTTGCATTACATTATTTAAATTATATACTATTTTATTTCTGTTCTTGCTGTAAATTCTAATGCTGTTCATGGATTGTGCAATTCCTATGCAATCAGTCTTTGCCTGCTGATAGTTATTAACAGTGCAGTGTAGAATCCAGATATTAGGCTTTCAGTTTCTTAGTTATCCTTTCAGTTCAATGCATGCTGCTTAATTGTGTGGAAGATCCAATCCATTTTTGTTGTCCAGCCACCATGGTGTGCATCATTCATTTGTTTCATGAAATATTCCAAAGCCTCTTGCTCAGTTTTATCTAAGGCTAGGGTCTTTCGAATATATGCAATGTCATCAAAAGACTGTAGTTCTGGCATTCCAGAGCCAAGCATCATTGAGAAAAGATTAATGAAGAGATTGGCATGCTGTCGAATAGCTAGATAAGCCTTGTAACACATCTCCTGAAACCTATAAGCAATAAAAATAGTTCAGTCAGTATGATGCAAATGGTATTAATACTTTCAGATCTCTGCTCGAATGTCACACAGAGAGGCTTACTTGAACAAATAGCTCTCCTCTCCCCACTCCCCTTGCCAGCACTTTTCTATTTCCTTTACCCCACTAGAAAGTAAACTCAATGAGGATAAAAACTTTGTTTATTGTTTTATCACAAACACAAAGACCAATGTCTGGCACATTGGGAGCTTAATAAATATTTATTAATATGTAAGAACTGGTTCATACTAAAGCTTTTAGGATTTCAGCTAGGGTCAGGAGACAGAGTTGTAAATAAAGCACAATTTTAAAAAAGTAATTTAAGGTCTAAGACAAATGATGTATCATAGGTGGTAAGAAAAATTATGAATACGCATGGTAGTTATAGTTAATTTGACTTTTCAACTTATATGACTAAAAATGTTTTAAGCACTATTTATTATTTGCCAATACAGAGAAGATGGAGTCCAATTATTTAAAGAGCAGTAAGTAAAAACTTTGAATGTGTTATGAAGTTTAGAAATTATTTTCCTTTTAGGCCTTAATTAGCTCAATAAATTAAATTGCCTTTCATTTTCATTCTTCAYGGCATCATTCAATTTTTGCTAAATAACATTTGTTACTTAAATTACCTGAACAATATCAATTATTTCTGATAGAGCAGCAAAAACTCTTTATCTTGAGCTTTTAATTTCTTGAGCTTACCTCTCAAATTCTCTGGTCTTTGTACATTCTTGAGCTCCTTTACTAATCACAATTAAGAAATCTTGTGTCAAAACGAAGGGTACACGTTCTCGTTTATAACCAAATTTTTTCTTCTTGTGATCCAAAAAGTGTCCAAAATCTATATGAAACAGCTTTCAAAAATAAGAAATTATGTTATAGGTCAACACATGCAGAAATACAATATCTTGAATTAATAAATTTAGCTTAAGAACATCAAAATATTTTAAAAAGAAAAAGTCATTACTTGTCCATCATCTTTCACCATGATGTTACTATTGTGCCGATCTCCAATTCCCAAAATGAAGGTAGCCACACAATATCCAGCACATGAACGTGTAAACAGGTCTATGGCTGCATCATATCTATATAGAAGAGATAAACACCTCAGGAGTGGTGTGGAAAACAAAGTGATCAAGGCCAAACGGAAAATATGAAATTTTTATCTAAACAATGAAACAATCACTGACATTAAGGAAGAAATACTTATGTTCAAAGATCTAAGGAATTTTGAAAATGTGAAGTTTTCAAGAGTTTCTACGGAAATTTCTAGATGTTGCTTATCAAAGCATAATTCCTACCATAGTGAAAAAAATACTTATGTCATTAAACTTATTTTTTTCTAATCATTAACAAYGAATTAGAAGTAAAAATCTGAATTTGTGCTAAAAAAGGATAAACAATAAGAACACTTTTACTTAGTTGAATGTACATAATTTTATCAAATTATAAGCAGTCTGATCATTTAAGCCCCAAAAACCCACAAATATTTCAAAGTTGAGCATATTTTTACCTGAAATAAGTATAATTGTTTCTTCTGGTTTAACTCAGAGGAATATATTCAACCACTAAGAGACTCATCTAACAAAAATTTACTTAACACAGTAAAAAGGAATAAAAACACTCACATTTCTCCTTTGTTCTTATCTTTGAGCCACTGATGTAGTGTGTGGCTGTTGAACTGCAGTGCGCCTTTCAGGCCACCTTTGCACTGAATTTGCATGATAGTGTGAGAATTTCTTACCACCTCAATAAGTCCTACACAGTCACCAATTGACAGACAACCATAAGGTAACATTCTGAAAAAAGAGAAACACATTTACAATTAAATAATGGAATTTTAGTACAGCAAATATTTTAATATGACAAATCATGAATATTCCAYTTGTAAATTTGAATTATACTGTCAAAGGTTTTTCTTTTWAAAAAAAACATATTTCTAGAAAATCCACAAAATTATATAATTATTTACTACAGACTTCAATTGAGAAAGCACTTACTTGTAGTATCAGAAAAACATTACTCAGAAATTATAGCAATAAAATATAAACATTTATGACTTTAAAATATGGATAAACTTAATGATGTTTAATTTCCATTTAAGTAAAGCTTTAGGGCAGCAGTTCCCATGTTTTTGTCTCAGAACTCCATTATACTTGTAAAAATTACTGGGGACCCCAAGGAACTTTTATTTATGAGGTTTACGTCTCTTGATATTAGAAATTAAAACAAAATAAAAACAAAAGCATTTATTAATTTCATTTAAAATCAAGCCATCAGAATTCTTTAAACTATAAGCATGCCCAACAGTGATAAAAAAAACATAAAATAAGAGAATAATTGGAGTAAAATCTTAAGAATGTATTCATCAGGGCAGGAGAGAAAATATTCCATATGAGAAATGATCAAAAAAAACTGACCACATTTTATTAATTCATCTAAAAACAAACCATCATGTGTCAATATAAATAATATCTTTTATGAAACAAAAAACCCTGTATTGCCAGGTACAGTGTTGCAATCCCATGGGCTGGGAAGGCTGAGGTAGGAGGATGGCAATTCAAAGCCAGCCTCAGCAACTTAGTGAGGCCCTCAGCAACTTAGTGACACCAGTCTCAAAAAATACATACATACATACATACATTAGGAAAAAAAAGGGGGGGGGGTGCAGGGAGCTGGGGATATGGGTCAGTGATTAAGTACCTCTACATTCAATCCTGGTAGCAAAAAAGCAAATCGGAAACTAAAATCCCACAAACCCAAACATCTCCCTCCATATTAAAAAAAAAAAATAGTGAAAAGAGCAATATATGTCTTCAAAAATTTTTAATGTCTGGTTTTATAGACAGCCAGATTTTCACACATGCTTCCGTAACCAACCCATGTAAGGTATTTTAATTGAGGTACGTAAAGAAAATCTGGCATCATACAAACAGGTAGTTGAAAAAAGGAGATTGTCATAGTCTTCTCAGATAATAGCAGATATTTTTCTTAGAGACTATTCTAAAACTGGACACAAGATAGTGTCTCAAGTTGCAATATGGAATCTGAGACAGATCAACAAACTTTTCATACTGCTTTATTAAAACTGATTTGTTTATCTTGCTTTTAATGGGTATCCTGCAATGGTCATTTGGAAGACATTAATTTAATGAGTTATGTACATCTTCTAAATGTTGGTATTTTTCATTATACCATACTAAAAACTCATAATTGTTAATATTATCACAGACTTTCAATTAAAAGTCTTTAAATTTGAGGACAAATTAAGTTCAGTGGTGAATATTGAGTTTTCCAAAATTCTAACTGGTGACTGAAAGCTCAAATTTTATCCTTGGCAATAAATATTGTCATAGTTGGTTTATTTGAAGAGATAGCCACATATTGTTCATTTTCAAGAAAATGTCTTGCCAAATACTCATGGCTGAATAACCACAGTTTTTTTTATCATTATTTCTTTTAATTAAAATAGTATTCCAAGAAAAAAGGAGCTAGTAGTTTAGTTTAGTTCATAGCTCAATCCCAAAAATGTGTTTCCTTGATATAACTATCATTTTGCCATGTTGCAGTAGTGCTTTTTGAGTATTTCCTGTTTTATTATATCAAATATTAAGCAGAGAAAAAGAATATCAAAAAGTAAATACATGTAGTCAAGGGTAAAGACATGAAGGCTTAAAAACAATAATGAAAAAAGCATAAAAATTGTTACATAAAGTATCAAAGTATGGTTTTCTTTGCTTTGCTGGTCTCATAAAGCTACTGTCTCTTCCTCCTTTTTTCTTTTTTTAACTTCCTAAAATAGTCTACATTTATTTTCATTTTCTCACTTTAATTCCTGTCACCTAGCTTCTAGGTCTACCGTTCTACTGTAAACTCTTCTTAAAGCTAACCATAAGTCATCAAATCCAGGTTTTTTTTTTTTTCTTAGTCCTTGTTTTCTAAATCCTTGGAGTACATGGCACTGCAAATGGTTTGTCAATCTCTTCCTTCTTTTGGGAACTATGAATCATTTATTCTGGTACCCTTTGACCACTTCTCTATGGAATCTTTTTTTCTACCTGCCCTGGTAAATAAGGACTTTTTTTCAAGATTGTATACCAGCACATTTTATCTCATTTCATGTTTTTATTTTATTACCGTTGAACACGCTCATAGTTTAAATGAGACAAATTATCCTATAATTCTTGCTATATGAAAAGCAGAGTGATAAGAAACCTAAATCTGATTTATACTTTTGCCAAGTAAAAATGCTATTTTACTTAAATTAAGTAAATTTTAACTAAAATTAAACTTCAAATAAAAATTTCACTTAAGTATTCAGAAAATATAAATGAAAACTCCTTCGTATTTTAAATAACTATAATTTCTTTTCTTGCAACTACTAATTTACAATTAAGTGTGATAATTACCAGAGATATTTACTTAGATCCTTTACTCTTTGAAGTTCTGCATTCTTTTTATACTCGTTGTTACTGAGAGTTGTGGTACTGGTGGCATCTTTTATGACACAGGAAATTATTATCAAAAAGGAAATGTGATTCATATAACATTAATTATCTTTGGAAAGGAAAGCAATGAATAAGTAAATCCCACCAGCACATACATCCATAAGAATGGAACTCTAAATAGAATAAAATATATTCCATGCTTGTATAATTGTATCAAAATGGATTATATTGTCACATATAACTAAAAAGAACTAGTAAGTTAAAAAAAAAAGAGTTAAGAGTCAAAATTGATGACTTAATTTTGTGCCTCAGCAGGTTACTTGAAATGTCTACTTTCTTTTTTGCAAATAAAAGGGTATTACTATTATTTGTTACTTATACTCTTTTATTTACTAGCTACTCTTATCTATTAGAGATATACAAGCCCTCATTTGGAATTACTGGCTATTTCTATCTCATCTATCATGTTGCTATAGCTAGACTTGGTTCATGCCCACTTTATGAAGCATGACAAAATTTGGAGATAATCTGATAATTGTGGAAAGTTGGACAGAAACCAATAAACTGGTAAAAACTTTAGTCAGTTTCAAAAACTTTGTTGAAAAACTGATTCAAGATTAGAAAATTTAAACTCAACTTCTGAATAAAAACAGGGGGCTTTTGTGTCACCTATTTCCTTTTCATAATGATGACCTTCCAGGGACAACTGAAGAGTCTTTACTAGCTTTATTAGAAATGGTTCTTACTTTGCTGAAATATCATCAGTTTGTCTAAGTCATGTAAGAGGACAAACAAAAGTACCAAAGCATAATCAACCCATTAATTACTACTACATATGTATGTGTATACATCGTTCTATTATTAATATTTATTAGTATTTTTCCCAAGTTAACATACAGGTTATCTTACTGATTACCTACCGAAGATCAAGACCTTGATTTTGCCAGATGTTTTCCATAATGCGAATAATTTGAAGTGTTAGCATATCTTGCCGTAAATCTGAAATTCAAATTATATGTTTCACCACTTAAAACTATCAGTAGAAATGAGGGTATTACATTGTTTTCACATGGAAAACAAAGAGCTACATTTACTGTTCAAAATAATTTATAAGACAGCAATATTTTGATTCTTTAACCCACTTCCAAAGTACCTGCATTACCATATCTGTATAACAGAATAAGTGAGCACATATTTCACAAAAATCTTAAACATATTTAAAATATTTTTGCAAATCCTTAAACATGAACATGTTTACATTAAAGTACTGAGATAACAGAATTCACCACTGAATTGTATATCACAATGCAAAGCCCTTTATAATCTTTCCATTTCCCCCTACAGCCTATTTTCTACATAATTAGGGACATTCTTTATATTCTTAGCAGACTACATTTTTTCTTTGTACCATGGTTGCTATTTTATTTTTGTAATTATTTATTATTAATGTCCCTTTTTTCTGTTAAGACTGTAAACTCTAAAAGGGCAGGGACTCTGTTTTGCTTACTGCTMTAATCCCTGGGACTGCCACATAGAATTGTCATTTAATAAATGGACGCTCACACCATTCATTCAAATGATGGTTCAGCAAATGCCAAAATGATTTCAGGACTTCTGATTCTAAAGGGGTTCAAAAAATGCCACCTCAACCAGGGGAACAACTAGAGGTTGACAACAAGCCTGGATAGACTACCACCTGTTCTTCTGAGGGTTACTCTGAAATTACTTTTTTTTTTTTAACAGAGATATTTTTTTATCGGCCTATCAAGACAACCTTTATTCATAATACCTTTGCTTTCCTACCCTCCCATAACTGTGTGGACACCCCAACCTCCTATTCCTTTCTGTTGCTCAGGATGCTCATAAGTTTCATCCATCCGATTCTTTTTCAAGTTCATATTTTGTGTAATGGTATACATAACTAAATATTTTTTCTTGTTAATCTGTTTTATGTTGATTTAATTTGAAGCCTAGTGCAGGAATGTAGAAAGGTTAGGCAAGCCATTTTTAGCTCCTCTAGACATATATAATCATTAACAAGAAAACGTGTCTAGTGGAGCAAAACTACTACTTCTTTTTTAATGTTTACATATACTTAGAACTGTAGGGATCAACCTCCAGCTGATCTTCATTGGCTGATAAGATTCATGACCAATGAGTTCCCTTTGAAGGATCCACCTTTAGGCAGAAAAACGGAGCTGAGAAAAAGCATCTGCCTGCATCTGTTTCCCTATGTTCTAAGTCATCTGCACATCAAATTATCATACTTGAGGTCACGTTTCCTGAATTTCKTTATATATATTATGAAAGTTAGAAGATCTGCTCAATATTCTATATTTTATCACATGTGTATCTGAAAAATAGTTTTCATGGTTCATAAATACTTTGTGCATAAAAGATAGCTAGCTAAATTCATATATCATAAACTCATTAATACTTTTCCTTACCATCTCCATTTTTAAAGATGATCTCATTGTTCTGAAACAGTAACTCCGACATGATGTCTGGGTTCTCCCAATTCAACCACAGTGGCCTTTTTGCAGAGGACATAATTCGACACTCCTCAAGCCTTTGAAATCATTAAAACACTTTACTAGTACACCTTAGCTTCATTATTCTTTTTACTCTCAAATTTACTTTAAAAGATATATCTAGTATAACTTTTTGAAATATAAAAAATTTAAAATTTCTTAAGTTTTAATTATKAAGTCATTCCTAAGACATACAAAGAAAAATACTTTTAAATGTTTATGTAATTATGAATTTTCAACCAATACAGGGAGASATTTATTTTACAGATATTACATTCAATTTCTTAACTATGATACCAGAAATTCTAACCATAGAAGGTCTTGAACTTTATTATTAAAGTAGTAAAAGGTTATTCTAAAAAATGCAGTTCTAATTTAAGATAATTTTACTATYTCTATTTTTCAGGGTAGGAAATGGGAAAGGAAGAGTATATAATTGGACATTCTTATTTTATGGGACATTTTGACTTTTCTCAAAATTTTATCCAAAAAGTACTTATTCAAATATWTCAATAAAATTTCCAACAAAGCATCTTACCGGAGATTTCCTAGTTGATGAGCAGGGTTTAAAGGAGACAGAAAGCCTTGTAGAGCATCCATGAAATCTGGTTGCCTCATTTGCTCAACTAAAAACTTCATCTGTACCTGACCAAAAAGCATAATCAAATTTAGAAACTAAGTTGTAAAGGTGAAACTAACTTCTAATCTCTTCTATACACTGAAAATTCGGTATTGCATAGTCTTTGAATCCATGCTCTGGACTGGCTTCATAATAATGAAAAGGATTTCTATGACACAGAGTAGCGTAACTCAGGGAGAGAGAAAAGAGTGGCAAAACTTGCACCCTTCCCTTGAGAGGATGAACTCTGTGTGACAGTGGCAATGCTTTGGCTCCAGAGCATAGTTAGTCAACCACTGCCTACAGATCAGCTGCCACATTTTGTAAATCAAATTGCATTAGAATATAGCCATGCCCATTCATCACACATCAGCTGCCCTCACACTGGAATAGCAGAGTTGAATAGTTAAGACCAGACCACGTGGCTTGCAAAATCTAAAATACTTATTATCTGGCCCTTTAAGAAAAAAAAAATCTGCTGCCCTTTCTTCTAGAGGAGGAGACCATGCTACCTTAACTTAATATTCTTTCTTTTAGGCTTTTCAGAAAACATTACATTCATGCTCTCTGTTGGGTGAAAAAAGGTCTAGTGATGCTAAAACAAACTTGAAGTTGTAAAAACTTTTGCTACATGGAGTCTCACACTATACTCAGGTTCTAGTATGTATCTAGAAAGAAATATCATTTTTTAATCCTTTCAACCCAGAGTACAAACTGCTCAGTTATCATGTAATACATGGCATTTTATTTCAGGAAGCCTTCATCTAACAGATTAATCAGCAACTTTGTTTTAATTCCAATAATTTTACATTTAAATATATTTTATATAAAAAACATTAAGTGTGTGCTAGAAAAAAGATGTTAGGAGCTAGGAATTAATAATAAATTAATTTTCATGCTGCAATTTTAAAGTTTTTTCCTTCTTACTACATATACGTAAATAGCTGGAAAATCTATTCCATCACAAAATAGACAGCTACTGCTGATGTAAAGATATTTCTTTTTCCATCACTGCCAACTCTATTGCTAGCACTGTGTTTCCCATACCGTATCACTCATTGCTATTTTGAAACTATTTTGTTTCTGGAACTGCAATTTTAGTTACTTATTACAAACTCATTTAAGGCAATAATGATATAAGGTAATGAATTTCATGTTTCTAAGCTATTGTATCATTACCAATTTTTGATAAGAAAATTCTAGTACAAAATAAATGCCTGTATTTATAAATATATATAAAACCTATTTTCTTTCCTCTTAGCTCAGTTACAATGTATAAATATATTTTGTACTTACAAATCAGTCCAGTCCCTCATCTATAAATTGCAGCATCAGAAATAGTACAATTATTTTCTAATATACTAATATTTGAACTTATATACCAGAACTTCAACAAAACCAATTAAGTTATATGCTACATGACATTTAGATTAATATAGTAACTTTCAATACAGCAACTTTCTTTTAAAATTGTTTTCTCCTTCCAGTAATATTGATGAAGATATTGGAAAAACCCATTCATTTACGTTCTCTGCCCTTTGGGGACTTGCTAATAAAGGGGATTAACCCAACTCCAACCCCAACTTCGTTAGAGGTGAAGAATGATTTCACTTTTCATTGCAGGATGTGATAGATTAGATTGAATAAAGAATAGAGAATAGGAAAAGGTCATGAAAAACCTTTTCATTTCATATTCCTTAGCTACACTAAGCCAGGGTGCAGATGATTAGTGTATGTGACATATTTGCTGAGCAGCTTTGAGTCCATTTAAAACTTAAAAATGCCAAAACTCACTTCTTTCCACTCATTTTCAGAGTCATTTTTAAGATAGTAAATGGAAGAATAAGGAAAGAATAATTTTAAATACGTAGGAATATATAAAAAGAAAGGAAGGAAAAAAGAGGGACTTAYATTTATTGGGCACCTCAGGTTCTAGGAACTATAATGGGTACTTTGCATAGAGCATATAGTTTAGTTCTCACAACAACCTTATGATTCAAAAGTAATACTCCCATTTTACAGATGAGCAAAATGAAATCTTAGGAGCCTAAATAATGTATGCAAAATTATTTAACATTACATAGCAGAGAGAGAGCGGAATCTGGATTTAAATCCTAGTTGGCTTGATGCCAAGAACCATAATCTACAGATGCACTAAGTTTCTGAACCACCCTAACACATTGCAATGAAAATTTCAAGTTTCAAAAACAAAGTCACACACCTTTTGTGTTTCATCCTTTTTTTCTTGTTTGAGAATGTCAGTTAAGTTAATGAGCTTTTCCATAGCCTCAACTTGCCTATTCAGGTGCTTCAAATACATCCCACAGGCACGACAGTAGGACTCTAAAAGCAGGCCAAACCTCTGACTAACTGTTTTATTGTGCATCTCAGATCTAAAAGAAGAATGAAAAAAAATATATATATGTACATATATGTGTGTGCATTAAATTAGTATATATAAACTTAAAAAATAAGGAAACCCATTTTGTAAGTCCAATAAATGTTACAATCCTACTCACAATAAAATGATTTAAAATCTTATCATTTAAAAAATATAATCAAGTTTCAGGTAGTTCCTGAACATGTCATTTAACAACCATTTTTTAGGTTTATTTTAAACTACTTTTCATTCACCAATCTCAGCAAAAGACACAAAAACACAAAAAAGAAATTGAACAAAAAAATAATAAAATGATCAGAAATAACAAAATACAAGAGTTCAGTGAGTACTTTGACTTTTCTGGCACATAATTCACACTTTTCTACACTGTCTCAAAATTTAAGTTATTTCTAACCTAGTGTCTTGGTCCCATTTTTTTATTCGAACATTAAAAAAAAAATCACATTAGACATAGATTTAAGTTTATTTAAAAGAATATRGCTCATGACCTCTAACTTTGAATACAAAATACAATGCCTTTTGCAAAAATATTTTTTAATTTTTAACAATTTTTTAGTTGTAGTTGGACAAARTAACTTTTATTTTATTTATTTATTTTTATGTGGTGCTGAGGATTGAACCCAGGTCTTTGCATGTGCTAGGCGAGCACTCTACCACTGAGCCGCAAACCCAGCCCTGTTATTCTTAATTAACCTTATATTCTAGCAAGAAACATGGGATTCTGACATTATTGTTCTGAATTCCAAGTTAAGATTTTTATTTATTTTGGAATATTTTAATCTATAATAGAGTGAAACCTATAGAAACAATAATATGCATCTAGCAAATTTTACTTAAAGTAGAATCAAAACCTTATAAAATATTTTAGCTTTCATTCATGTAAAAAATTCAGTTTTGACTTTTACTGTTTAATTTCAAAGAGAACAGGTTGAAGAGTTCATTACTACTGTAATACATTTTCAGTATAGAAAATGATTCCACCCAAAACTAAAAGTGCATTAGTAATACATATTTATACATCTATTAGATGTATAGTATATAAATATATAGAAAACAAGTAACAAACAGTGAAAGAATTCAGTGGAGAAATAATCTGACTTACTTTAAGTGCCAAAAGAAAAAGTGCCCAATCCTTTGATTTGTCAATGCTTTCTTGAGTAAAAATCTCACAAGCAGGTTATCCAAATATTGCTCATATTTCAGGACCTAGTTAATTAAAAGAACAAACAAAAACTCAAATGAATCAGGGTCTGTTTCTGCATAGCTGGATTTAAAGAAAAAATTTTAGAAACAAAGTACATACTATTGGTAATAAAATGAATTTGTTTTAAAAGCATAAAACTAGTTGATACAGTAATTTTGGAAATTGCATAGTTTTAGAATAAAACATTATTTTCTATTTTACATTATTTTACCTGTACTAGCTGAATCAGGTACTGAGAAAGTTTGTCGTCTGTTAAATATTTTTCTAAGCATCGAACAGCAAAACCTCGAACCATAGGATCTGGGTAATTACAATCCAGAAGCTCCATTGCCTGTTCAGGCTTGATTGGAGGCCAATCTTTTACTAAGCAGTACATCTGTGTATGAGAAAGACAATATATCATATTTTAAAAGTAAGGATAATTGTGAATAAACTTTCTTCAACATTATCTAGTCGTTGATTTTAGGGTTCATTTAGATAAAAAACCTTAAAACTTGCTTAAAATTTTCAGTTCTAGCAAGTTTTATTTGTGAAAATAATGTGAATAGTGTTTTTTTCTCCACTATATACTATAACTACCCAATTGTCCATTTCATCTCTTAAATTTATGTAGTTTTTTTAAAAGAAAACAATTTGAATAATGTACCAATTTTGTGCAACATTAATTTAATAACCTCAAATATATATTTACCTGGGCTACTTCATCTCTAGAATTCCATTTAACAGACAGAAGCAATTTGGGTAGAATTTCAGGTATAGTTACGCAATAGTGTCTGTTGGGAAAAACAAAATAAAAAAACGTTCTTCCATGTTATTCAAAAGGCCTAGGTGTCTAATTCTTCAATCTTTAAGTTCCAAACTTATTATTACTACTATACCTTTTTAAAATCAAAAGAAACTAGTGTTTAACATGATAATTGTATACATATTTACTTACATACTTAGACATGATAAAAATGGCAAAGACAAAAGGAAATCCAAATGAGATAGTACTTACATTTAGCTGACATTTAAGAAAAATTAAGTATATGTGTTATCACTCTTTAGATCACTCATATTCACCTACTTATATAACTTGAATCACACAGTTACCACTTCTGTTGAGGTTACTAGACAAAATATGTTTTAATGTAGTTTCTGCAGAAATTCACTGCAACTGCTTCAGTTAAATAAACCAACGTCACTTACATGTAGCAAGGTAATTTCTGCCTACATGAAAATAAGGTATTACATTATTACTTTGAGGACTTCAAGAAAAAAAATAATGAAAAGTAAATTCCTGAAAATCATAATATCTACACCAACTAAATCACAACTATTTTCTTTCTTGAATTTTAAAAACCCCTAGGAAAGTCAGTTAAAAGTTTAAAAAATGCCCTGAGGAGTTAGTTGAGTAGTAGAATACATGCTTAGCATATATAGGGCCTTGTTCAATTTCCAGAGCCAATAAAGAATTTTTTAAGTTTTAAAAGCCTTCAAAGTCCACAATAAGTATTAAATAGCATGTTTTTCTGTAAGTACAATATGTATACCCATAAGTTTAAAAAAATTCAAAATCATAAAAAAATTATGTATGCTTTATTTTGTACTAAGTATGATAAAAATATAGCAAGATCAACCAAAGTCAGTCCTGTCTTCTGTAATAAAAGAAAAAAAAAAAAACAGAGACACTCCATCTTAATATTTACCTGTGGCTCCATAGAAAATCTTTCTCTTGCTCAGTGATTTCAGATAGAGGATCTCGTGTACAAATTGCTCGGAGTTGTTCTTTGTCATTTTCTCTTAATTCATTGTCTCTAGCTAGTCTGTTACTCTGTAAAATAAAGAAATATCTTAGATGATTTTCTTTGCTTTATTCATTAATGATCCCCCCAAAAAGCAAATTAATTTTCAATAAACTTTACACTGCTTATTAACTGCTAAAAATTTCTTCTCCCCAAACACGGCATTTTCAGCAACAGGGAAGAACCAATCTAAGACAGTATTTGTGGAACAAATGCAGTCACTTAACACGGTTAATATTACCACCAATCACAGTTAGAACAATAACTGCCAAAGTTAGTAATGAAGACCAAAATGGAATACTAGGGTATAGTAGTGAAYCATTCAGCCTTTTTCCTGATGAGGTCTCTTAGTAGCATTTGATGAACTAAYCTAATATTTCTGGTAAAAAAGAATAAGAAACAGTATAATAATAAAATAAAAATGTAAACTTTTTTTTTATGTTTCTTGCCTGAGCATACCCTTAATTGCTGCAAAGCTTTCAAATATAAAAAGTAAAAATAAGTAAGAGAAAAAGGGAGATGAAATACCCTCTTAAAATACTGTACAATGAATGTCTGGAAAGAAAATAATGTAACTTTTTGTATAATTCCAAGTAACGTATTTGTTTCCTTTACATAAAAAATATATTAACTGGATAATTAATAATTATGAATACATATCATTAGTATATTGCTCAAAACAAATATACACTCCACAGTAAATTTCAAAGCTACAAATGAAAGCAGAAATTCATGATACATGGCTTTTTATGTATTTACCTTGTTGGTTTATTCAACAGTGTGAAAAAATACTATTTGCACATATTTATTCAACAAGCATTTACTAAATATGTACTATGTGATTTGTCCTGTTCTTGCTGCTGGAGTTACAAAACAGTAAAAGACCCTGCACTAACAGAGCCTCCATTCAAGTGGGAAATCAAATAAATAGAAAAGAAAAAATATTGTATACTTGATGTAAGTATGCCGAGTTATATAACAGAATTACAGAGTAGCTACTGTTGACTGTGTATTTCAAATAGAACATAATATTTGTGATTCAAATGACAAAAAGAAACTGTCCACGTTTGATCAGCAAGACAATTGCAGATGGAGGAAATAGTGCAAAGGCCCCAAGGAGGGAATGAGGAATGGTTTGAYAGAAGAACTGGGAGAAAGCCAGTAAGCTTAGAGTCTAATAAATGAGGGAGACTCAGACAGATAGAAGGTGGAGTTCACAGCATGTAAAATATATGGTTCTGGCTAAACAGTTTGGATTTTATTTTTAGTGACAACTATGTAAGTTATAAAAGCTATAATTTATGTTTCATAAAGATTATTTTGGCCACTGTGTGGAAGTTAGGAGACTATTTACAATAATTCAGGCAAGGGACACTATTTAACCCTCAACTTACTAGGAAAAGTCATCATTTCCACTTAACATCTGCATCCAAGGGATTATTTTATTTACTTATTTTTGTTTATATTTTTAATACAAAATAATTTGTAGTAATGATAAAAACAATTTAATATTTTATCCATTTTTATCCACATTTTCCTTGTTTTGAAATACAACTTTGTCAAATTATAAACACCACTGTCAAAATGAAAATCACTGAAAATTGATGGCTTGTAATTTTGTTGAAGAAGTTGGTCATCTTTGCTCAATAATTACAAAATAATTATTTATAAATACCATCAGAATGATCAATTCAAGGAACTTTTAAAATTTTTACATTACCCTTTTCCTTCTAGTCACCTGCCTTCTGCATTTGTCCAATTAGAAAGCGTTTCAAGTAAATTTTGGTATTCAACATCATAAAAGATAAAAATAAAATGCAAAATATAAGGCTGTTTAGATTCTTGTCACAGAATATTGAGATTAAATCATTACCAGTGAATAATAATGGAATGTGAATATCAAACTTCCTCYTTGTGCTTAAAAATACATTGTTTATTCATTGTTGCCTTGAGTTTGAGAAAATTCACGTAGGATACTGTCATCTGACATTTCATTTGTATGATAAACTTAGCCATTATAATTAGAGTCTAGAGAAGTATTTTTCGATTGGGGTGATTTTGAACTCCCTACATCCCAGGGACCTTTAGTAAGGTCTGGARACATGTTTGATTGCCACAACTAGGTGTGGTGTCTAGTAGGGCAGAGGCCAGTGACACTGCTGTCCATACTATAATACACAAAATAGCTCCCAAACAAAGAATTATTTGGTCTAAAATATAGGACTGAGGTTAAAAAATAGTACTATAGAGTCCTACTGTCTGTCTCTACATTCCTATTATGATTTATCTAGTAATCGTGAATATTTTTCTCTTTAATTTTGTCATTGTGGGTGGAAAGTGAAAATTTATGTGCAACGAAAGCATAAAAAACCACAAATGAACAAAAATCCTGCAACGACAATGTCTATAGATTTATACCTATGAAAAAGATGCTGCAAGACATTGGGCAAAGCCATAAGAAAACAGAAGGGTCTATTTTATATAATAGTTATAATTTATATCACTACTGTATTATCTTTCTATGCTATTATATCCTTCTGTATTTTCATACCTTTTAGTCTTTTTTAGCATAAATTAAAATAAAGAATAAGGATGAAGTAATTCCTAGGATGATGAAATAGTAAAACATTTTCTGAAACATAATTAAAAAAAAAGTTTCCAACAGATCCAAATGGTAAATGAAAAGAGTAGGTTTAATTCTATTATTAAAAATAAGCACTTTTTAAAAAGAAAAATTCTAGTAAGAAAGAATACAAGACACAAAATATCAATCCTTATAAATAGTTACAACTTCTAAAAAAAGACACTCATATCTTTTAAATCATGTATGCAGGAAAGATATAATACTTAGTTTACAAAAGCAATTAATCAACTCCTTACTAGGACCAGAGATATAAACTGATAAAGTGTGCATCTTTGTGCTGCTGTTACTGTCCAGGATGGACATATTTCAGGACCTCTTGGCCCATTATTCATTGGCTGGTCTATCTATAACCTACAACAAGGCTTAAAAAAAAAAAGTGATAAATTTGGAAAATGGGAGAAAGAGACACCAATGAACAAAAATATCTCCTCTCACCCTAACACCTTTGCCCTTGAGAAATAAGGGACAGTTAATGGTCCTTGAATGCAGTTATCTTGTGGTTTCAAAGTTATGGCCAAGATTAAACAACTGGATCAATATTTAAGTTCCACTTACTTTATATTCATTCTTTTCTGGAGAACCAGGACTAATGTGGTGAAGATTTGCTATTTCCTGTGCTTCCAAGCTCAACTAACAAAGTATTTAAATCTTAGTCTCAACTTCAAGGCTACTATCTCAGGGATCTTTTTTGAACCCAATAAACATTAGCCTTTCCCTTGTTCAATCCTTGGTTTTTGTTATCATACTACTGTTTTATTCCTTCATGCTGCTTACCATAAATTTTAATCTTATATTTCTACTTATGTCTGTTTAATGCCTGTTATTAACATTAGACTAAATACTTAATGGGGTCTGTTTAGTTTACACCTTTACCTCTGCCTATTCCAGTGCTTTACACAGAGTTGGCATTCAATAATATTTATTAAACAAATGAAGGAGGGCTAGGGCTCTGAATAGAGGAAACAGAGCTGCAGGAAAAATATCAACATGAAGAAAATTTTACTCTATTGTAATATTGTTCTAGAGCACAATAGTATTTGTTAGTATAACTAAAATTTATAAAACCTTGTCCACACAAAGAATATGTACACATATTTGCAGAAAATGATCTAAGTATGCTAAGTTATATTAACAAGGAATTACTTAAGAAACTCAATTATTTCCCTTACCAGTCCTGCATGGGAATAACTAAATCCTGCTTCTCGGGATACAGACCAATTGGCATGTTCTTCAATCACTGACATATCTGGAAACTTTACCACACTGCTGAACCAATCAAACTCCAACTCTAAGCATGGAGTTTCCTAAGAGATGGAATAAAAATTAGTATGTATATATGTGTRAGAATATATGTATCTATACATGCATATAAATATTGTGTTTTACTGCATTAAAAAAAAAGAAAACCATCTAATTTATAACAAAAGCTTACTTTATTTGGATTTGACCCAGTAACACCAATAGGGTTCAGCAGATCCTCTAATCCATGAGGTACTGGCCAAAGATTCAAAGCCATTTTTCCTGATACTAGGGTGTCAGTATAATCAAACAAGTTTATATTTCCCCAGGCCAATGGACAGTGTTCCTAAAAAAGAAAAAAAAATATTCACTATTCTACAGATTAAATTATAAAGTGAATCTCAAAATATTTTTTTCCCCTGGAAAAGAGATCTTAACGGCTGTCTCTATAACAGAAATATGAAAATCATATTGGTTTTTCAAAATTTAAGCAGTTTCTTTCCTTTTTCCCATTTGTGTTTATTTCCTCCTTTCCCATTGAAATTATGTTTTTAAAAATTATAAATAGGAAATATGATCCAGGAGGCATGATACAATTATTTGGATTCAGTCACTATTATTTAGTCACTTTGTGTATTTAAAAATTATATCACTATGAACTCAGGATATATTTATCCATCATAAATAAATTTCTAAAGCTTTCCCAAGTTATTTTTCTATGATCCATTTATTTATTAATGTCTTAAAATAGGTTTGATTTATTGATTTTTTAAAAATGAAAAATTCTAATTTTATATAATGTTATTCCATCAGAGGTATAATTAGGAGCTTTTGGAGGTAAACATAATTAATTGTTCCTTCTGAAATACTTTACCTCTTTAGCACCCTTTCGGCCTTTAACAGAGCAAATGGAAAGGCAAAGTCGAGCAGCACGAGGAAGATCAGGAATGTATATATCATAATTCAGCCATTCATTCCACCTTTGTAAAATTTTAAAGAAAAATAAAATTTACCAAAAAAGTTTTATCCAGAATATATAAATGACTCCAACAGAATATCAAGAAAAAGAAAAACCTAACAAAAAATAGGAAAGTGATTGGAATAGGCACTCTGTGAGATTACATTTAATGGCCAATAAACATGAAAAAGTAGTCAATATTATTTGTCATACACAAAGTGGAAACTAAAATCTTATGGAGACATCATTATACATGAGAATGCCTAAAACTATGAAGACTCATGATACTATGGGGTGGTAAAGTACTAATAGGAAATCCTACACACTAAGAGTTGGGGTAAAATTTGCTACAACCAATTTTGAAAGCATAATCTATTAACAGTGAACATACATACACCCAATGAACCATTTCTACTTCTAAGAATGAAACCATAGAAATGTGTCTATTTCTGCACAGAATGTTTATAGAAAAATAATTTATAATACTCAAACTGCAAATAATCCAAACGTTTTTACAGTAGAATAAATTTTTATATTCACATAATAGAATATTATATGGCACTAAAAATGGAACAACAGTTACGAACAAAATGGATGAAATCCTACAATTATTGGGTAAGAGAAGCTAGGCACAAAAAATAGCACTTATACAAAACTGGAAAATAAGCAAAACTAACCCTAAATTGGTAGAAGTCAGGGAAGTCAAGGTTACCTTTGGGAAGGATAGAAAGTCAATAAATATATTGAGGAATGGTTTCTCAAGTGCTAGTAAATGTTTTTTTTTTTTTGACCAGTATAGTGAATATGATATTTATAGTATGATAATTCATTGAACTACACAATTCTGATTTGTATACTTTCATGCATGTTTGTGTGCTATACTTCAGTAAAAAATCCAAGTTTTGCTTGTAAAAATCAAATAGAAAAGAGAAATTAGACAAACAAGAATTTATTAGTATGATTATAGTTGTATTTAATTACTTTTATGCATAATGTAGTTTTATACAAAATAACCTACTGGTCTAAATAAGACAGTATATAAATAAAATGAAGAATACAGAGAAGAACATATKTGAATTTTAAAATAATAACTTCACAAGAAGTAATAAAACTTAATATTCATAAAATGGAAAGAAAAAACCACTATAAAAAATAACAAGGTAAAAATTACTCAAAACAAATTCTCTTAATTTACTGGATGTTATGAATGAAATTATGTCTATATTTGGTAAACATTTTTGTAAAGATCCATGTATAATAAGTAGATTTAAAAAAATATTTTAAAAGCAATGGGGAAAGTATAATGTACTTGAAAATCAAGACTGCCTAGAAGACGACCTTATTTCTATGTTCCACCGAATGTGTGAGCCTTGTTTTTTGCCTTATCTGTGAAATGAAACCAATAATAGTACCTATCTAATAAAATTAAATGACATAATTTGAATGAAGGAATTAAAACAGCACATTGGTCCATGATAAAAGTTCAGGTGCTAGATAGGCTGAGGCAGGAGGTCTGCAAGTTTGAGGCTGGCCCTAAGCAACTTAGTGAGATTCTGTCCCAAAATAAAAATATAAGAAGGGCTGGGGAATGTAGCTCAGTGGTGGACATCCCTGGGTCAAATCCTCAGTACCCACTCCCCACCAAAATCATCCATTTATAGTAGAAGACTTACATTTAAAATGCAAGAATTCTAAAGGCAAATACATACATACATACATACATACATACATACTATTACAGAAATACAGGAAGAAGAAATGTGGGACTTAGAAAGTCCATAATATTTAAGAAAAATTAAAGGCATATCTACTTAAATTCACATATGATTTTTTTATCACTTCTAAATTCCTAGAATTGCTCATAAATTAATGAGGAGTATTCTATACATTTTCTAAGAGAGTTATGGCCTCGAAATCTAGTTTTAGCACTATGCTAATAGAATAAAATACATTTTTCTATTCTTCTAGAGTCCATCCATTCCACAACACACATAAACGAAATTCAATACATACAAATCACTTTCTTTATTTTTAGAAAATGGTTTTATATATACAGTCTAAATTGATTCTAATTTTGAGGGATAACTAGTATGTTTATGAAGAAATCATTAAGTATCTGCTTTCTAATAAGTTCATATACCTCTGCTTTTTTGTTTTCGTAAACAAAAAAGTTAAAAAAATTTTTACTTAAAATTTCACAGTACTTCCATTGGGAAATACCTTTTAGACTAGAGAATTCTTGAAGAAAAGATAATAAAATATAGCCCTTTCTAAATACCTACTTTAATTTGCTAAAATTTCAACATTTTAATCATATTATATTAAGTAAACCTGCCTTTAATTTTACTACCCTTTATTTTTGGTACTTGAAATAACTAGGATAAATGTACCTTGGGTTACTGTATTTAGGAGTCTTTGCTTGGAGCTTGTTGAGCTCTTTAGATGGGTAAATTTAACAGTTTTCACCAAATTTGGAAAAATTCTGGCCATTATTTCCTCAAAATACTATTTTTCTATTCTCAYAACAATTCCATCCCACCTGTGACAGACATGCAGTATGTATAGGAAATTAACTACTGTTTTAGCAGAAATTTGTAAAGATCCTGTGGTGTCTGTTGCTACAGTGTACCTTCTAACCTGAATAATGTATTTTTTGACTATAATAGTCCAGGCAGGGCGAGGAACTACATCTATTCCCTCTAGTAAAGATGACTACTATCTCTTTAAACGTCACCTGGGCTTTTAAAGATTACTTAATTACAAGATTGAAATTTTCTCTTTTATTTTTCTAGAACTCAAGTCTATACTCATTATGAGATGTACTTCTGGAGTAGTCACTTGCTAGTACTATTGCTATTCTATAATATCCTCTTTAATCTGTCTTCAGTGCCAATTTGAGTTCTCTTAAAATATTACTACTATTATATTTAGGGTACACTGTTATTTCCAAACTCTATAAAACAGACAAATAAAAGCATGATAAGCTTTTATTTTAAGCTATCTATACTACCTTTTATTTCTTCAATACATCTTGGCACTAATATTTTAAATATTTCCAATAACTCTCCCTTTAAGAAATTGGTTTGTTCTCAAAGACCCTTTAATTGAATGCATAAATATCTATTCTTAGGACTGATCTGAAGAAAATTGCCTCAGAGTATTCTGGCTCTGGAATTATTTGCCAACTCTCATTTCTTCTCATAAATGGCAAAGGAGATAAGAAAATAAAATGCTGAGTTTTTGATCTAATGTGGAGAATCATCAGGACTAAACAGTAATCATATTCTGTTTTCTCCTTGAAACAACGGGAAAAGAGAATCAGAAAATTCCTTTGGCTGAAATTTTAGAATCAATAAAGTGATCCTACAAGCGATACTCATTTGACAAAAAGTCTTTATGTTCTGTACGTATATATTCAATTGATACTATTTGCATAAAACTAATGATGTAAAATATTTCACTTTATTGATCACCTTGCYAAATACTAATGTGACTTTGGAAATATACACTTACCTGGGATTGGAACAAGGAACTCTCTGAGTGTTCACATTGTCACATAAGGGTTCTCCTCCATGGTAGATACCTGTTCTAACATAAATCTGTGGGGCGGGGGAAGAAAGAAATAAGTATGTATAAAAATTTGTATTCAGATAAAGCTTTTCTGTTCTCCTTTTCTTCACATGTAGAAATTAATACTGATATAGATTGATCAAAGTTTGCTGTTGTTTTCATCCATTAATAATGATGAGACATCAGGCTATCAAGACCCATATTCACTTTTAGCTAGATATGTTAATTCAGAGTTGTTGTACTTCAGAAAGAGAAATTGGTGTATAYATTAGGTATTTCTTAAAACCTTTGGTAGCTGGAGCAGCACCCTATAAAGACATGTTTTGTAATAAATCACATGAATATTCACACGAAGTGGGATCATTTTGGTACTGGAGATTGAACTCGGGGGCATTTTACCATGGAGCTACATCTTTGATGGTTGCTATTTATGTATTTTTATTTTGAGACAGGGTCTCACTAAATTGCTGAGGCTGGCCTTGAACTTACAATCCTCTTGCCTCAGCATCTAAAGTTACTGGGATTACAGGCATGTATTAATTACCACACTGGGCACTAAGTGGGATTAATAGTGAATATAAGAAGATTTACTTTAGGTTGGATTAGATTTTATTGCTAAACTAGTTCTATAAAACTTTTGGTTTTAAGAATTCAGAATTATCAATTTTAGAATTATAGACTTAGGACTGAGAGATATGCAAAAACTGAGTAGATGGAAACTCAAACAGAATTCATTATATATTTTTATTTTCTGAAATTTGAGTGTTTTTTTTTCTCTAGTCATCTGAAAACATACTGTAGGTCAACAGGCTATTGTATAGTTCAATAAAAAACTTTATATAAAATTACTTGTATAAAATAATAACATCAGCCTTTGACCTTACCTTATCAATGTCTCGAATATTTACATTTACATAGGTTGCACAAAGAATTTTTATTCTGAGTGCGCTATTTATAACCCAAAGGGATTTGGTAGATGTTTCTCCATTCATATATGGTGTAGCTGTGGAGATGCGTCTAGAATAAGATGGCATTGTAAAACAGTCCATTGGCAGTTGAGAGTACAGGCTTTCTTTAGCCATCAGCATCAAATTGGGCATCCTCCCAAGCATTATACAGCTTCTTATGTACTGTAAGAGATTAAGAAAAGAGGAAAGAAGCCATTTCCTGTAAGGTTTTCCATTTTAAAAGCAACATGCAAGAGTATTATGGGAATTTACATACTGATTTGCAAAAGTGATTAAAAAAATCAAACATTGTAGACTACATTTCTTTCCAGTTACTTATTTGTAACATTTAAAATATTAACATTGGGGAATTAAATGCAGTTAGGTTGTAGCACCTAATTCCCAAATATTAGTAGGATACTAAATTGAAATGGTAGTTAGGACAGAAATTTTTAATATAAATGCTATGGTACACATATTATAACAGCCTATTTTCTTACTTATAATGCCCACTAGACCATAAGTAACTTGAAGGCTAGAACCATGTTTTGCTTGGGACTATAAACCAGTACTTGGTATGTGCTTCTCTAGTTGTTTCTTAATAAACAGAAAGGGTAGGGACATATTACTAATACATCTTAATAGTAGATCATGGAATTTTTTCCCAAAATATCTATTTTAATTTATATTCTACTGCCATTACTTGGGAGAGGATAAAAATTATAAAATACTTCATATTTTGAGGTAAGGTAACCACCTAAATTTTCATTCTGTTAAATAATTATAGTATAAAAATTAAACTTACAAATGAWATTTTCCAATATTTATTATTATCTAATTTTCAAGAGGTATGCCTTTAAAAAAAGAAGAAGCCAATTCTTCTGATTACTTTTTAAATTTAAAATCAATATTTTTGAAACTTGTTACTCACCTTATACTGACTCAGAGGATATTTTTCTAGAAAGTATTCATCACATCCACACACTTTTAAAATATATTTGCCCTGATATTCTAAAACACAGAGTTTTAGTTGTTCAGAGGATAGCAACATACTTCGAGTTTTTTTCCTGATTGCCTCAGCAATTACTTGTTCTGGCACACAGTCATGGTTGATTTTTAGAGTATACTTCTGCTTGTCATTATTTGGTGAAACTATTACCCAAATCACCACTATTATTTGTCCTGTAACAGGAAAACGTTATTAGATGCAATCATCATGTCTGTTTCATTTTTCAAGAAGCAAATTTCAAGTATGTACTATCCATTACTCTAAACATAATCATATATGATTTCTAATCGTTCTAATTAAATACAGGTAAATATCTGTTAGAAACAAAAAATGTTCATATATGATCAGGTTGCCAGACCAGGATCATGACTTCTGTTCAAAGCAAGCGTGCAAAGCTGGAACTACTGGGTCACAAGTACCTAAGTCTAAGGTAATTTACATTCTAATTTAATTTACATTTTAAACTGCCTGACAAGGGTTCAATGATGGTTTCAAAGATTCAATAGTTCCTAARGTGAAAGACTATGGGAAGTAAAGAAAGAATGGCACAACTAACTTATAGATGCTGAATTAGAGTGTTGGAAAAGATAGGGGAGGAAAGATCRTAAGATAAAGTTAAGTCAGGAGGTACCCCCCCCCCCGAAAAATATGTGAAAATGGAAAGAGTCCAACTTTTCAACTCTCCTATATGTTGAAAATTTTCAAGTGAAAAGAGCACTCTATTTTACAAAGTTTGCTACAGGAGAAAAGAATTTTGAAAGATCTTATGCTACACTGCAATAAACTACTTTGAATAATATGGGTGAGATAGAAATAAGATGTCTTAAATTAACTCTACTAATAGAATTATACATTAATAAAAGCATGCAAGGTATTCTATGACTTTAAACTGAACTTTTACTTTGTTACCTTGAAAAACAATTATTTATCTGATAGAATACTTATTTCTAAAACAGCTTGCATATTTTCATGTTCACTTAATTCTAGAAACGGGTTCATTAAATGTCTAGTACACCTATATATTATCAATCACTATGATCAGACTTAATTATTGCACTTAATATTAAAATTTTTTCTTTGTATATATAATACATGATGATGAGAATGTGTAAAGTTTTTTTTATTAAGTTTCTAGTTATACCTGCTTTTATCTATCAAAAGATAATCAGCTCTAATTCTGTTAGTACTCTAAACAACAGTGAATATCAAATTCAAAGTTCTTCAGTTTCAATGAGATGAAAATTCACCAACAGATCAGCATCATATCCATACAATTCATTCAATCAATAAATTTTTACTGTACACAAGTTATATATTTAGTACTCAAGTATATCTTGTCAGTACAAGAAATCCCTTCCTTCAAGAAGTTTATTATCTAACTAGGTTTTTTTAAAAAAGGACTTTATAGAAGAAATAAAGACACGGGTAGAAGATTTAGCTCTAGTAACAATTACAGTAGACCAAAAATTATCTTACCTTTATCTAATTTATTATATATGTGCTTTGGCAGTTCTGGTGAAGATTCCACATTTGGAGGATACACATACATTGCTCTACTATGAGGTGAATTGAGATCCCTAAGATCCACAGCTTCTTTACAAACATTCAGAATATTTCTTCGGAAGTCCTGTACTTCTGGATCTTTAACCATATCAAATTCACACACTGGCATACCGATAACAAAACCTTGAAAATATTATATAAAGGATGTAACATTTTATTAAGCACACAGTATAAACAAGTTTCTTACAAACAGGGACTATATAGATAAGAAAGGTCACAAAACAATTGAATTTGTCTTGGTTAAAAAAATCTGTGATGAATACATAAAGCAATAGCCAATAAAATCCCTAATATTTTTAATATATAAATATATTATAGATATAACAAATCTTAAGTCCTCCTATAAATGGTATTTCATAAATAAAACTTTAAAGAATATCAAGGTGTTAAAAATAGTTCTATARCTCAATAGTCAAAAATACTTCAGATTTTAAAATATTTTTTTTTATAGAGAAAGCTATTTATTTAAGATTATACAGATACTGGTTCAGACAAAGATATTTCAATAATGAGACAATGGTTAGGCTCCACAGTTATTTGCATTTGAGAATAAGATGACAATGCCATCAAGTTGAAAATTATACCATACCAATTTCTCGATTGAGGATCTTTTCTTCACGGTTGCCTACTGGTTCAATAACTTTTAAAAAGGGTTGAAAAAGCCGAAGGTCACAAAGTCGTCTTGTTTCATCAAAAAATTCTTCCCTTTCTGCTTCTTGGGTAACACTTACGAAAATGTAAGAAGATTCATCTTGAAGAAGTTGATAGAGAGGGTATTTTCTTGCTTCTTTAAATAGTTCATGCTTTATAGTTATTAATGTAGCCTCACGGAGGCATTCTAAAGTCACTATCATTCCATTTGGTAGTAAACATTCTACTAGGATTCTTGGGGGCATCAAGTGGATGCCCCACAGTTCACCTGATGATGGTCGTGGAGGCATTGTTCTGATCCTTTACAAGTTTTACATATAAAACTACTTTAAGAAATTAGATGTATGGCTGTTCCAAAGCAAAAACCTAAATGAAAGAAGGAAAACTTCTGTTAAAAGAGAAACAACTGTAGAGAAATACTGTTACAGTATTGCTAAATGCAAAAATTCATATTTTCTATAGATTGAATAGGTAAAGTATTAATTAATCTTAAATATTTTAATCAAGACTGTTGCCCTAAATTAGGGCTTAAAGAACAGATTTCAACAGAAGTCATAAAAACCACTTGTATTTAGTTAAATCTAATAAAGTCATTTAAAAAACATTGTATTTGAGGAGGACAGTGTTGAGGCCTTGGGAAGAATGCAAAGTAAGTTGTAATTCAAGCCCAAATTCCCATCACCTATTAACACCTTTATCACTTGGTGTTATTTTATGGAGCATCAGAATTTGGACCAGAAAGGATCTTTTTTTTTTTTTTTTTAAACGTCATAGATCCATTGCTCTAACTTTAAAAAAGTAGTAAAGCCTACAAAAGTCAAATTCTTTTCCTTTTCCCACTCTTACAGACCTCAATCTGTAGTAATAAAAAATTATATGGTCTTTCTTTCCTTTCTTCTTTTCTCTCTTTGTCCCTCCTTCCTCCCCGGACCTGGGGATTGAATTCAGGGGTGTTCTACCATASAGCTACATTCTTAGCCCTTTTTGAGACAGTGTGTTGYTAAATTGATGAGGTTGGCCTCCAACTGGCAATCCTCTTGCCTCTGCCTTATGAGGCCACCATGCCCACCCAGCTCTCTCTTTCTTTTAAAAATCAATCTGTAATTTCTTCCTTTTTACTAGAGAGCACTGATTCTTGTCTAGGTGATATACCATTCTATTTTTTAAAGTATGATGTAGGTATATATTCACAATAAAGTATAATCAATTTATTTTCCTTGAAGTATTATGATGAATTTGCAATGATGCACACACTTTCCCAAATATCTCAGTCCTAATACTTCTTTCTGATTGAAATGAATTATTCTATGACCCATGACTCTGTCAGTTCCAACCACCTGTGTGAAGAACTCATATGATTTTAAAAACTATTAAGTGCTATTATAACTTGAAGGCCCTTATATTCTTAGACTTCAACAATCTTGGGGTTCTTTTGAGAGATATAATCAAAACACACAAAACTTCAGTTTATTTCTTGCTGTTTATATTTATGTTTTTCTTTATTGGGTAAGCTAAACTATAAGGGTACAACAAAAGTCAAGCAAGAGATAACCAAAGTCAAGAGTATAAAGGTTATGTATATGTTGTCTGTGGGGTAAACTCATAGTTACACAACAGAATACACGCTATCACGGAGAAGTGCCAGATTGTATAAAAACATAGTGTGGTCATTCAACTCAATGGAGGTTGGGGCAGGAAGCACTCTCACAGAAAGTAACACATGAACTAAATTCTTTAGGGATAAGCAGGAGTTGGGCAAACAAAATGAAAAAGCATTGAGAAGGATAATGCAATCCAGAAACCTGCAATGCCTGACTCCCCAATACCATACCTATTAATATCTAACTCATCAATAAATTCTCTTTAATTTGTCTATATTTCTTCATTACCATTCTGAGTACCCTGGGTTGRGCCACCACTATTTCTTGTCTGGATCACAGCAAGGATCTATGTGCATTTTTGTTCACTCCTATAATCCATCTTCCTCCTCACAGTTAGTGTAAACTAAAGAGAGCAATAGTCCCTAATTTGATCAGCCATTTCTGCTGTGCCAATATTCACTTGCAAACAAGTAATTATTATATGCTTCAAAGTTGTAACATGAATAAGATGAAGGGGGTGAGGAGTTGGAATAGCAGAACTTTCTAGCTGTCTTCCCACCTCTGTTAAGCAAGATTAACTGAAAAGACAATGATGAATATAAGGAAATTATTTTTTGATCGTTGAAAATATTCTTCAAACTTACACACACAAAAAATCCAGTGAAGTGACAGGATTTTTATAATCATTTCCTCTTAAGTTAAAGAAATCTCACTGGTTAGTAAAAAGACCAGATGGATCAATCTGTGTGCACAATTYCAGAAGAGACTTGAACTAAGCTTTTTAAAACATATAAAAAATTTCAAGAATGCAAGGGAAAATGCCAAATGACTACTTTTAAATGATGATCTGCCTGCATAAAGAAGTTCAAATTAAAAAAAAATCCAAAACCACAAGCCACACCAAAATAGCAGCTGTGTTTATGGTTTTCTTTGTTGAATAGTGCTAAGAAGTTTATGTTATAGAACTACTGGGGCAACTATTTCATACCCAGAGAGTCTCACCTGTTCCATAAGTAGGAGACATCTAGGATAGATTATTGATTTTATTCTTTATTCTACTATAGCATATTTGTCATCATAATACCTTTCATAGCACTATGAATATTAATTTAATAGTGAAAATGAATTGCAACCTGAATTTTCCACATAATAACCATGAGTACTTGATTTTCTACCCTAACATTGTAAAGGTCTTAAATACTCAAGATGTACCCTTTTCATAAAGAGAATAAATATATCACAGCTATAAAACATTTGGAGATCATAAAAGGCAAGCACTGTTGGTCACTATGGAAATAATTATGTAAAAGACAGAGTATATTAAATTTCTTACTTGTCTAATGGTTATTTGCCTTCTTGTGCCAAGCCTTACATTGTACAAACCATTATCTCAGAGCTTGCATACAGAAGTATAGAAAAGGCAAATGGAGCTAACTTTTTTTTGAACCCAGGGCCGCATGCATGCTAGCCAAACTCTCTAACATTGAGCTACATCCCCTAACATTTTATTATTTAGTATGTACCATGCACTTAGTCAGGTAATACCCCTTTTAGGGATATTACCATTTTACTTATGAGGAAATTGAAGGTGAGTGAAATGAAATTATTTGCCACCAGAAAATAGACTCTGAATCCATGTATGGATGATTTTAAAGCATCTACTATAACCATGATACTATCTGGAGTTTAGTTATGGCTTGGTAAATCAATGGTGGTAAATAAGAGAATGGGCCCTAAATTTCACTAGATTCAAATTTTAGCTTCCTTAGTTAATGGCAGTGTGGCACTGGGAGGTTTAGCTCATTTTATTGAAACTCATCCTCCACTTGTTAAATTGGGATAATAAGCATCTACTTCACTGGACCACTGAGGATTAGGTGAGGTAATATGAAAAACACATTTATCATATTGTGTTTTTCATCAGCACAGAGTAAGCACTCAATAAATACTAAATATTATTAACAAACCTGAATATCAACATTATCTTTTAAAGCTATTATGAATTATTCAGAGCTAGCACCAGGTGGAGACAGGAAAAAGAGGCTGGGTTCTTTCACTAGGGGATGCTAGTGAAGGAGCTGCATAAAGCAATGTTGGTTTCAGATGTTAGTACTTGAAGGTAGCACTGGTCATGCAAGGTTTGCACACAGGCCTGGAATAGTAAATATAGAGTGGCTCAGACATGATGCTTTTACAGCTGCTTCCAGTTTCCCAGGTTCCTAAATAGTACAGGTAGCTACAGCTTGGTGTGAGGAATCTCTTCTCTCCTTTTGCATCCTACTCCCTCCATCTCTTTTTGAGAAGCACCTACTTATGCCAGGCTCTAGGCTAAGTATAGTATTAAAGGTAAAGAAGATATATTCTTTTCTGTTGTTTAGAGACTCATGGTTTACTGGAAACAATTTTAACCATGTGGTAACTGTTACAAGATAGAATATGAATTATGGAAAAGCCTGAGTAGGTTTGGGGYAGCTTTAGAGCGTAAAGTTTCAGTACAACATTACAGATTACAGAATTTTACAGGGCAGGAGTGGCTTGAATGTGGGAGTGATAGATCTGGAGGGCAAGCGAGATGGCTGCCAGAGTTGAGTATGCAGTCACAAACCATAAAGAAGAATGCAGCCTATTACTAGCAATATAAGCTATTTTTTTTTAACTACTTGAGTCTAAAGTTCATGGAAACAGGTGGGGTATGTGACAAGGAAGGAGGGGTGAAAAGCAGCTGGGGGCCAGATAATAAAACCATGTTGGAGAGTTTGAATTTTATGATGTACACTATTTAGTAGGTACCATACAAAAGAGTCAAAAAGAGTCTCCAAAGTATTTTTATTTTTTTGATACCAGGAATTGAACCCAGGGGCATTTAACCACTGGGCCACATCCCCAGCTGGTTTTTATTTTTAATTTTGAGAAAGGGTTTTGCTAAGTGGCTTAGGGCATCACTAAGTTGCTGAGGCTGGTTTTGACSTTGTGATCCTCCTGCCTCAGCCTCCTGAGCTACTGGGATTACAGGTGTGCACCACTGCAGAAGCCAAAGTATTTTTAAAAAAGCAAAAAGATTACATTTTACCATGATTTTAAAATTTTCTCAGATTTCTTTAAAAATTGCTTTTCAGATATAGGTTATAAAAATTAATGTAGTATAATAACTGTATGTTCTCAGTTCTCTAAATTTAGAGAAAACCCCCTAAAATTAAAATCTGAGTATGTAACATTTAAAATAAAAAGACCTAAATTAGACTATTGAAAAATTAATGCTGATAGAGAAGATGGAACTAACAAATTTAAATGCATATTATTCTATTTATAAAAGATTTACTGAAAAGCAAAAGAAGAGAATACGTCATTATAAAATTAATTTTTGAAATACTAATCTAGATAACTGGGAGGTTTGAGGTCAAAGAATAAAAGATGTACTTACTAAAACATTAAAAAAATCAAGCATCCACTATATTGGTTCATAATTCCAGGACTAAATATTCATATACTAACAAATCACAACTATCCAGAACTCAAGAAATAAATTGGTTTTGCTTATCCTAATTTTCTATATTATCTAAATAATTGTTTCAATTAGTTCATTCTTATTTTCTTTGAAGTACACATAATTCACAATTTACTCTTTTATAAGTTACAGTCCTCATTATAAATAGCAATTACCATGCTCTTTTCAATATAACAAAATTCTTCATGATTATGAGACATGGGGTAGAGGAGTGTCCTTCTGGCCCTAAAACCAATGACCCCAGGGTGAATACGGTGCTT